CTCTTGCTCCCCCCCCCCCCGCCGCCCCCCGGCAGGCCCCGCAGCGAACCCGCCGCCATGCCCGCCCGGCAGCTCGCCACAGGCGCCTCACCGCGCCTCGCCTCGCCTCACCGCCTCAATACATTTTTATAATGCAGCTATTTACATTCAAACATTTATATACTGACTCTGACAAAGCGCATCGGCAGAGCCACTAAGCAAACATATTAAAAATTATCTGGATTAGACCACTTATTTATCAGAGATTATTGTAGTGAATACTGAATTCCTCCTAGCCAAGGCCAAACAGAATGAAAATGACTTTACAGACACATAGTTCAAGATTCCACAATCGGCGAACCTCAACTTGGTTTTCAGTAAATTATGATGAAGATCCCATATCTTCTACTCATTCATTGTCAGCGTAAACTGGCAAACAGATTTGACACTGGGCAATGTGAAAAAGTTAGCCCATGTCATACAGGTGGCTCTTACCCAGGCATAGTGGAGTATCACATCACACAGTGATGTCAGTGTCAGGGTAAAGATGAACCCAGGAAAAAAGGAACAAAGGGAAAAAAAGGAAGAGAGAAAACAAGATGAAAGGTTTTGTTTTGTTTTGTTTTGTTTATCTAGGATGATTGTTAAATTGGAGAGTTGTTAGATACATTTTATGGCTCATTGATAAAATAGAATATTTGCAGCTATTTAAAAAGATGAAAAACAACTTATAATGTGACATGAAACAAGCCACCAGATAGCAAAAACAGCAGAAAAATCAAGGTGAGTAGTATGTTGTACAGCATGCTAATACCTTGTGACTTTTTTTTTGTTAAGTAGATAGCTATTTGTACATGCATAAAATTCTGTGAAAGAATATACAATGCATTGATTATAGTGATTGACTCTAGGAAGGAAAATTGGCTATGGTAAGATGTAGTAGAAAATGTACTTTTTTGGGTTTTACATATTTTTAGATTTTTATAATTTTCATGTATTATAGTTTCAAAAAGAAAAAGGAACAAAATATGTTTCTAAAATGTTCTTTCATCAAAAATAAGTAAAACTCAGTGCAGTAAACAAATATATTTCCATTCATATTTATGTTCACCGCATATTGTGCAATAGAAGATTTTTCTTTCAGACTCTGTCATAATTCCCAAAATAGGATAAAGATTATAGCTTCTAATTACATTGCACATAAGGTTTTATGTTTACAGCACTTTTCCCTTGCATTAATAAACATGTCACTGAAGCTATTAACTTGTCAAACTCAATTCAACTCTAGAGATACCAATGGACTTGATATCAAGAATTTCAAAAATTAAAGAGAACCTTTCTCCCCAAAGGGAGGTAATGCTCAGTCAGTGATCCCATTAAGTTCCAAATTGTGAATTTCACTCTTCAGAGACAAGACAGGAAAGAAAATGAAAAATATGCACTTTGGGTTTGTCTCCACATCTATAAAATGGGAATATTAAGACTACCTGGCATGACAATACGTATAAAACCCATGATAATGACAGTTGTAATAAGGTAGTTTAAAAGTTAAATGAAGATGAATATTTATGTCTAGGAAACATAAAATAAAAATGTAAATGCTAGTGATGCTTGGTGATAGTTATTATCCTCTATCACAGCTTGGCAAACACCTCTTCCAAATATCTATGATTACCCATTTGAGTTGAAAATGGCTTATCTCCCAGCGTATTCACAATTAAATGTTTCCAGTGGCATTGGTAAACAAAATAACCATGTAATTGTTCAAATTTCTTACACAGTAGTAAAATTTACTTACAATGGCTTCTTAAAATGTGCATTTTATTTAAAAACAAAAGAAAAAGAGGCATACTGTATTTTAACCTATGAGTAGTAACGAACTTGAATTGAGATCATGAAGATAATAGGAATCCATATTTAGAAAAGGGAAAATTAAAAATTATCTTTCTAAGAACTGATATAAAGACAAGTTTAAAAACAATTCATTTTGATTTGCTTAAATTGACTAGGTAATCACCCTGTAGTCTATTTTTTATTGCCTTTGTAAACACAGGCTGGCCATCATTTATCTGGAACTTTAGTGAAGAATCATGTTGGTGTCTTAAACCTTCTAAAGAGGTTTATATTTAAGTGATTAGCCCTTGAAAATAAAGATAAACCAGACTAAATCACCTTTGGGTGTATTGCTGTCAACTAGCAATTATCTAATCGATTTTTTAGTTATGCCCGCAACACAAACTAATTACTTTGAAAATGAACAGCCATGGTTGTTTTATGAACATTTCTATCTGTTATGCTACCAGGGAGAGAAAAATAAGCAGGCCTAAGCAAAGATTGAAGAAGCACAATTAGACAAGAAGATAACGTGTAGCCCCAAGCACAGTGAGATTAGTCACTGAGGAACAAACACTCTGCACACTGGAACCCTTTCCAGTCCCAGCTGATGTTCCTCATCCAGGCTCAGAGGAAGGGAAGGACCTTGTTGGCTTCAGAGGCCTCTTGTTGCCTGCCAGTGAGGTGCCCCAAAGGATAGCGTAGAGATAGTGAGTGTGAGGGACAGAGAGGCAGAGGCAGAATGACCACTCATGTGTCTGTGTGTCTGTGTATACACAATTAGAATCCAAAGGAGAAGACAGAATGGGAATCACAGACTCTTCGATAAGTCTAAAGGAGAAAGTTTGGTTAATCCTCTGATTCAGGGGGAAAATCAGTATGATTTCTAATGCCATTATTTCTGAGGCCTAGCTAATTTTCAGTCTACTGAATTCCACGACTGGAGTAAACAATAAGATCTTGCTCAGGTTAATAATGAAATAGTGTCACAAAGACTTGCTTTGAAAAAAGAAAGAAAACCAGAAAACTCAGCCATCTAATCAAGTCCTCTGAAGCCTGAAAAGGAGAAGAGAGCGTGTGTTTGGAATGGGGATAAGCATGCACAACCATTCTCATTCACCAGGCCACCATTCACTAGGCACCACATGGAAAATCTCCTGAGCTCACCCGAGAAGCAACCCTGATACTCAGTGCATAATGCAGTGTCAGGACTCTGTACAAGGGAGATTTGTCTCTACAAAAGCTATTTGGTTTATATCTACTGAGAACATACCTGGCCTCTAACCACCGAAACCTAAGGGTGCATTTTAAAGTTATTTCTGAGAGAGAGGAAAAAAACTTCCCATTTTAGCTTGAGTAAAGTGGTTTCAGGGCAGTAAAGGCCATTATACTTTAACGAAAACAACTGCATCAAACTGTAACATTTGTATTGAGTGGTGAAACCATTCCAGTACCCTCTGTAGTATATCAGAATTACAAAGAGAAAAAACTGAGAAAATGTTTGATCTCTTTACCTCAACTCAGAAATTGCTGAAATCCATAATCACATTTGGAAAAAAATCAACAGAATAAGCAGAGTTTTCTTGCAGGCAGAAAGAGCCTAAAATTTACACTGATTCTTAATTTAATTTAGCATGTATCTCTGTACCCAGTGAAGCCTTTCTGTATAACTAATAATCAGAGAAAGAAAGTACTGAAATTGGAAAGACCAGCTTAATGTTTTTACTGATATATGAGACTATAAGTCCAGGTATAAATCTTTTCATTTCTGTGGAGTCTGGGAAGGGGTGAATTATGTAAGAGAATATGCAAGAGAAAGGCTGGAGGTCCTTATTCAGATGCAAGCTGATTAAAATTAGCACTTCATGAAATTGCTTCTTTTTTTTTGTTAGATGAAAAGTGATTCTAAGTGGGACACAGCTATAAAAGTAAAAAGTCCTCATTTTCTAATCACACTAAAGGTTCTTCCCATGTGTGACCTTATTTGGTACTTTAGCATATGATATATATAATATGTAAAAAATTTTAAAATGTTTTTTTTTTCTTTTTCTTCTTTTGATTGTTATAAAAAACTACCAAGATTATCTGGAGGCAGAGTAACTACTGTGGTAGAAAAAAAAAAATTCAAGCCAGAATCCTAAGACTTTAAAAGTCACCTAATGTATTTGGCAGCTAGTATAGGAGTTAAGGTGCTAGATTCCCACATGGCCCACCACAGTTCAAGTCCCAGATCCACAATGGGACAGCAGGTGGTGTGGTGGTTAAGATACTGGACTCCCACATGGCCGACCATAGTGTGAATCCTGGACCAGGTGGCTTGCTTTCCTGCTCTCTCTCTCTCTCTCTCTCTCTCTCTCTCTCTCTCTCTCTCATGAGCACAAATACCCTATAGCAAATTTAAAAGTAATAATGATGATAAATAAAATTAAGTAAATAATTGTCTAAAAAAAAAAAAAAGTTTTGTGTACCTGTGATGTGCTAGCTGTTACAGAGGTGCCTATGAGGAGTTTATAATCTTGTAAGTACATACCTCGAGTCCATTTGATCTGAGAAGGGAGAGAAGAGTTGTAAAGGTCAAGCATGAATTTTAATTGAAATTGAAATTCCCCTTGGATTGCTGACTCAGATCCATTACTACCATGACACTGCAGAGGCTGCGACCTGGTGCTTCTGAAAAATCATACTGAAAGATATTAAGGGCCTGCTTTAAGACTACTTTT